CATCTGTGTGGGTTTTTTCTCTACTCTTTGCAAGAACGTCCATTATACTCTGGCCCAACCAGTCATGGGTGACCATATATTCGGCCTCGCAAGCTTTTCGGGTCAGGCATCGTTTAGAGAGACCGATTCGAGAACTTCATGTTCCACTAGTAGCTTGCAAATTAAGCTCGGTAACTGGGCCAATTTCAACACCAGCAAAATGGAAGTAAGCCCTCCCCTTTCTCTCAACTTTCTCTCTTTAACAAATGCGTTTGTTCGAATTAGGTGTGTGAATTGTATGTGAAATTTGATCAAATTTCTGGTTTTTTTTTGGGTAAATTAGGAGTTTGAAATTTGTGTAAATATAGTTGATTGTGTTTTTGTAAGTGGTAAATATCATCGCTATATGTAACTGACACACCCCGACCGAAATCAAGGTGTGCTGGTGTGGGTTCCTAGAAACAAAACTGTGAGAGTGTGGTAGGGGCCCAAAACGACTATATCGTTCTACGGTGAAGTCGAGCTCGGGATGTGGTAGGGGCCCGGGTCAGGATGTGACAGTAAAGGCACTTAAAGGTGTCGACAATGAAGGATTTAAACTGGTTGCAGGAAAATGACATCGTTGAGCTCAGTTAGGAAATTAGAGAAATTGAAGGGGGTGGGGGCCAGTCGTGAGGTCGGAGACGGAGATGGGGATGTCGATGAGGAGAAATTTTTTATTATGACGAGAACACGAGTAGTACACTACATGGTTTTATGTAAGTGGTGAATAATTTTATTTTTTAAATTATTAATTTATTAACATGCATATTTCACCATTTGTATAGTAACACATGATGTACCATCTTGTGTGCCGATCACACTGAAAAATCTCTCTTTGACGAGAATGGAGGGTAGGTTAAGGAGGACGGTGGATTTGGTGAATTGAAGAGGGAGGGGCCCACTCTTTTTTATTTAATCTTTTGCCATAAAAAATTATTTCCTTTTTAAATTAATTAATTTATAATTTAGTTTTTCCTACATAGCACAATTGACTGCCATGTCATCAAAAATATGGATCCTCCATTTACCACGTCATAACTTAACAACCAATTTGATGGATTGACTAACGTAAGTTTGACAGGGCAACGAATTCATAATTTTGTATTGTAATGTTCAAAAGATGAGATATGAGTTTGTATGTGATCTAAATTTGAGATTGTAAAATGTATTTTGTCTAAGAAAATAAAAATAAAAAATAGGACTTCCTCTGATCTCTCAAGTTCTGAACCACATATATCATATGATGTATGCAAACCTATCCTCTCACCAATCAACATTTATGTCAAACACATACTATTAGAAAAAAAGTAAAGTATCCACAAACACATGCTAAAAACAAACAAACAAACAAGGACAGCCTAAAAGCTTTCAGCACACAGCAGCAGCAGGCTTAAGCGGAGCCAAGCTTTCCCCCATCCCTCTCACTGGCATGGACCATGAGCTTGGGGATTACTAGCAAGCAGTGAACATCTCTCGTGCCGTCGAGTCATTGGAAGATTCATGGCCACCGTGCTTGTCCATGCAATTCCATTTCCGCCAGTGCCTAGACTGAGACCCAAAAACGTGGCGGCACCTGCTCGCTGTTTGGTCTCGACCGCACATCAAAGCACGAGATTTGTTGGGTTATGTCGACACACTTGCACAGTGAGATCAGTAGCAGAAGAAAGTTCCAGCTCCAGCTTGGACGTTGGGGATGATGAGGTTATTAAGACACAGCTTCTGGAAGAAATCGAAGGAATCAATAGAGGCATTTTCGGAGTCCCGTCTGCGAAGAAATCTCAGATTGAAGCTCTCGTCAACCAGCTCGAGTCCCGGAATCCTACTCCAGATCCTCTTCTTAATCTACAAAAGGTACCAAACATAGTGTTTAGCTCTGCATTAAAGTACTAACTGGTTAAAGGTTGTGTGTTCATATGTAAATCTATTGATTTATTTATTTAGTTTTGATTTGTTTGTTTAATTGGAAGGTGGGTGGATGCTGGAAACTTGTGTACAGCACAATTACCATTTTAGGTTCAAAACGAACAAAGCTGGGATTGAGGGACTTCATCTCCTTGGGTGATTTCTTCCAGAATATTAACATTGCTAAGGTACACGCCTCATAGAGTACGGTCACATTCAAGAGTTTCGGTACACTCACAAACTAAGGCCCGGTTTGAAAACTATTTCGTCTTCTATTTTTTATTTTTTATTTTTTATTTTAACTAAATACTCGTTTATAGCTATTTTGAATGCCAAAATTTGAAAACTAAAGAAAGTTGTTTTTACGTTTTGCTTTGCAGTAATTACCAAGCATTTTAGAATAATTCAAATGCGCATCCCGGATAAGTAAACATGTCATGATTGTTTTCTTTATTGGGAGAGATCATAACTGTGAGGTCAACTTGGTTTGCCATTATGAGTATTGCAACATCTTTTTATCAAGTGTATGCTGATTTGGTTTGTATTCTGCAATTGCGCGCTTGCTGATATGCCAAAACGGAGGGTAAAGCAGTTAATGTGATCAAGTTCGACGTGAGAGGATTGAATCTGTTTAATGGACGGCTGACAATTGAGGCCTCCTTCAAGAAAGCATCCAATTCAGTTAATTTTGCTCACCTTAACTTGTATTCTTTTATTTAATCTGACTGCAGCTTTCTAATTTTGATTACAACATACAAATCAAGTCATGTTCTTAAAGCTTTTCTGATTTGAAATCTTACAGAGAGTTGACATCAACTATGACAACTCCACGATCACTCCGAGTCAGGTATCTTACATTGTTTTGTAGCAGGCATATCAGATTATTTTGTATCAGCATTTTTGGGTTTCTAATCCGTGTTTGCTCGTTTTGATGCTTATAGTTAATGAACGTGTTCCGAAAAAATTATGATGTTCTGCTTGGGATCTTCAACCCAGAAGGATGGCTTGAGATCACGTATCCTAATAGTTACTACTTTGACGTAGTAGTAATCTCCTCTGTGCACGCTTGAGATTTTCTGATTTTCGAACGGTAGAGACTATATTTTTTCTTTAATTCAATTTCTTCAGATATGTTGATGATACCCTGAGAATAGGGAGGGATGATAAAGGCAACATCTTCATATTAGAGAGATCACATGAAAGTTCGCTTTAAGCATCAAGACTCGGGTCATCATTATAAACTTACAGTCTGAAGGATCATTTTTGGAGGGTTACATTCACCATAGCCGTAATACTCATTCATTACAGTAGCTCTTGTCATTCTGTAAATTGTAATTTTGCAACTCATACAGCTGCAAATATCTACGGCTGAGCATCTTCTTCTTTCAAAATCCAAAGATACAATCAAGATAAAAGCAGGCATATACATACATATATGTGCTATCATGATGAGGAACGTACTACTTCAGTAACATATCTGTAAACTTAGGCATGTATGGAATATATTTCCCGAGAATGATTTCATTGATATTGATCGTTCGACGTTATACATAGAGCTTCCTACAATTCAGCTATATATGGAATGAAGAAAAAAAATCAAAAAGCAAAATCAAGTACAGAGTGTACATGCTATCGAAATTCGGGTTGTAGTCGTGAAATATTTCTAGTACTCCCCCTTAAGTTGGGAGAGTGAATATCAAGAACTCTAACCTTGCAGTGAGGACTCCGCATGTGGTAATTGTAAATCACGCAACAAACTTTGTAGGACCGTAGCCAAGTGAGTTCACAGAATGCACCAGTCATCGTCCTGTACTTGGCTTCTGTCGAGGAAAGTGAGATGGATTTTTGTCTCTTTGTTCTCCATGAAACCATTGCATTTCCAAACACACAATTCAGGCAGTGGATCTTCAAGTAATGGGGCAGCCCGCCGGATTTGAAGATCATCGCAACAAGCACTTGGTTTTAATTTGTTCTCAATTAGAAATAACATGCCTTGTCATCGAGCATTTAGATACCAAAGTACTTGAAAAGATGTCTCCATATGAGCTCTACGAGGCTCATACATGATTATATTGAGAAAATATACCGTATATGTGATGTTGGGTCAAGTGGTGTAAGATATATCAAACGACCTACCAATCGCCTATATTGGGAAAGATTTACCTCTCCTACATAAACCAGAAAGGCTGTACAGGATTTACCTCCGCTACATGTGAAAAGAGCGTAATAAGCTGAGGACGAGGAAGAGGCATTACGTAAATTTCTTCTCCGAGGCCAACATGACGAAAATTCATCTTGGTGTCCAGTTGATTGAGAGACTAATTGCAAGCAGTTGTAATGACAAGGTGGCAACGCACAATGATCAACATGGCCGTAAGGGAGAAGTGTCATGGTAGTCGATCCCCTCAGTTTGTCGAAAGCCCTTAGCCACAAGCTGAGCCTTATAACACTCAATTGAATAATCAAATCATTGCTTACTCTTGTAAATCCATTTGCAGTTAATAGGCCACTTGTTCAGACGAAGGGGAGCGATAATCCAGGTATTTGTGGACGCAAGGGCCTCAAGTTCATCTTGCAAGGCATGTTGCCAATGGGCGTGAGAAGTTTTTCGTGTCGGTTTTGCTTTCGATTAGCAGACTTTCTGACATTGTCTTATGACTATGAGCTAATTGATCTACACTTCTTACTTGGTGTCGCTTGCTACTTGGGCCGTGAGTGGGAACTTAATTTCCATATGAGTATGCGCCCTTGAGTTGCTGTTGCAATATGATGCCCATAAGTAATTTTCGACAAGATATCGTGCTTAAATTTTACAATTTTTCTTTTGAGTGGAAAATTATAAATTCAGATCTCAACATGTTTGTTAGGTACACTCACTTTTCCTACTTAGACCTATGTACTTTGTACGATGCCGGTATCACTTTCAAGTGATCTTGACACGCCTCGATTCCGATGTCCGGGGGACATGACTCAAGTCATTTAATGAATGCATATGCTGAGAACATGTAAAACATGCGTATAAAACTATAGGAATGATGGAATGGCTACTAATAAATGTACCTAAGCACATAAAGGGTCTAATTATTAAAACTACACTCAAACTGATTGAATTTCAAAAAATGAATGTAAAAAACAGATCTAGGATGTTGAAATTAGCCTAGGAGGGGTTCCGACCGAAACCTGAAAAAGTCAACAAAAAGTCAATGTTGACGAGTCAACGGGTCAGACCGGGCTAACGGGTCTGGGTCAATTGTCGAACCAGTTCAATAGGCTAGGCTAGGGCTTAAAGGGTTTTGGGTTTCTAATGGGCTTAGGTTTGAAGGCCCAACCCAAAGCTCTAGGCTAAAGGGCTTGGGCTTCGAGTGTGGGTCGATCAACCTGGCTCTCATCGGGAACGAAGGCTAGAGCCTTTCGAGCTCCGGTCGATGATGATTTGACGATATAACCTACGATCTACCAATTAAAATGACAATAGAGATGAGAGGGAGGGTTTCTCACATTCGATTCGCCATGAAATGGCCGGAATCAGCCAGACTTCGAGCTTGAACACCATGGCTCACTGGAGAAGTTTTGGGTGGACTTTGGGTATCCCATGCTTCACAAAGATGAGGGAGGAAGAGGGTTGACATCGGTGGTGGTGGTGACACCATTGTCACCTTTCGTTTGTTAACTTGGGTGTATGAGTGGTTGGGTGTAATCGGGGAGAGGGAGAGAGGGTTTTGTGAGAGTGAGAGGGAGAGTGCTGAGGGAGAAGAGAAAGAATGAGAGATAAGGTGAGGGTTTGCCACGTAGCAGGCAGGGAGATAAGGAGAACTAGAGAAGGAATCCAAAAATAAGGGATCCAGATTGGGTAAGGTTAGGGACAGAAAGGTAATTTCATTATTTTTATTTAAAATTTGTGAAATTACACCTAATTTTAGGGGTGGGTGGTTTCATAATCTACCCCCCTTAAAAGAATTTTGTCCCCAAAATTACAATCTCAATTAAATAAATATGGATACTGGCTCTTGATTAATTCCTCCGTTTCCCATGTCGCTTCCTCAACGGCATGGTTTCTCCACAGTACTTTTCCCAACGGGATGACCATATTCCTCAGAGTCTTCTCCTGTCGATCGACGATTGCCACTGGTGCCTCAACATAACTTGCATTCTGATTCACCTCTAATGGTTCCGGCTGTATGACATGAGAGGGGTTTGGCACATACTTCTGTAGCATAGAAACGTGCAATACGTTGTGAATCTGAGAAAACTCCAGTGGTAGCTCCAATCTATAAGCAACCACACCAATTCTCTACGTAATCTAATAGGGACCAACATATCAAGGGCTCAATTTCCCTCGCTTACCAAATTGAACCACACTTTTCCAGGGCAACAACTTCAGGAAGACAAAGTCACTAACCTTATACTCACAATCCCTGGAATGTCAGTCCGCAATGCTTTTCTGTTGATCTTGAGCTGCCTTCAAATTCCTCTTTATCAATTGGATGTTAGTATTAGTGGTGTCAACAATTTCTGGCCCCACTAACACCCGTTCATAGACCTCCGTCCAACATAACGGTGTCCAACACACTTTCCTATATAGTGCCTTAAATGGTGCCATGTCGATACTGGAGTGATAACTGTTGTTGTAAGCAAACTTGATCAGAGGCAAATAGCAATCCCAACTACCTTTCCACTGAAGAACATAGACTCTCAACATATCCTCCAAGGTCTGAATCAGTCCTCTTCGATTGACCATCGGTCTGTGGATGATAGGCAGTGCTGTACAACAACTGAGTATGCATGGTGTCATTTAATGCTTTCCAAAACCTGGAGGTGAACCTTGGATCTTTGTCCAAAACAATTGTGACAGGTACATTATGAAGTTTGACAATGTTATCGATGAACAACTTTGCCAACTTCTTTAGTGTGTACGTTTGTTGAACAGGTAAGAAATGAGCAGTCTTGGTGAGTTGATCCACATCAAACCTTGATTGTGTCCTCGACAACCTATACATGAAATCCATAGTGATGTCTTCCCACTTCCATGCTGGTATAGGGAGATTCTGCATTAGCCCTTCAGGTTTCTGTCTGTTTACCTTCACTTGTTGGCAAATAATACATCTCCGCACATACTCTGCCACATCTCTTTTCATCTCGTACCAGTAGTAGAATGGATGGATATTGTGGTACAATTTGGTGCTCCAAGGATGCATGGCATATTGATAAGAGCATATTTATGCGACTTTGTTATCTTATTTCTTTGCATTTACTTAGTTAATTTCCATTTATTATCGTAATTTAAGTTATTTTCATATTATTGTGGGTCCAATTGGTAAAGATGACAATAAATCGCTAATTAGAGCAATTTGAAGCAGTTTTGGACTTGGATTGGATAACATGCGTGGAGAGCATATTGGCTGGACGTTTTTGGTGTTTCAATGGTGCTAGACATGTGCTAAAATCTGGAGAAATTAAAGTTGAGGCTTGGAAGATAGGAATTACACAAGAAAGAGGAATCCTAGTTGGAGAGGAACATTATCTTATCCAACCTTATCCAAACTTATTTCATCTTATCCAGTCTTATTTTATCTTATATAACCTTATCCAACATTATCTCATCTTATTTCTAGTTGCAAAATGAGTCTTTATCCTATTCTAAATACTTCCCATCTGATTCTAGGAGTCATAATCCATTCAAACACCCTAATCCTTTTTCTCCTTGGATTCAATCATGCCCTTTGCCCTATATAAACAAGTTGTGCCGCAAATATCAAGGGGGGGAGATTGTGCCACAACCTGCCATTCAACCATTGGAGATTCCAGAGTTCTTTCTACCCTTATTTAGTTTTAATGTTTATTTTAGATTGCTTTTCAATTATGATGAACATGAGTAACTAAATTTCTTTTTAGCTAGAGGTGAATTCAAAGCCATGATCATATGTTTTATATAAATTGATTACATTCAGTTATTGTTTCATAAAACATGAATGCGATTTACTTATTTGTTTTATAGAGAATTTATTCTTGTATGCTTATTAAGGATGTATACTTAGTTTGCATGCGGGGATTTGATGCTAGAATATAAGGGAATTTCACCTAATTGTTATGAAATTATATTCGCAAATAGTAAAAGTCACTAGTCATGATTGAGTTAAGTAAATTCTTGGCAGGAGTATCATGCTTTTCATAGTTACGAATGCTTCGTCAATGCTTATGATTTTCACAGAACTTAATGATCTTTGGGATGTATCTCTATCTTGCTTTTCATAGTTAGGGAACTTGAGAAGAATAATTTGGTTGCGTAGCTGAGTCCAATTCAATGAACCTAGGAAAATCTGAGAGTTAATTTGTGCAGTTCACAGTTAATTTGGGGCATTGTCATTCATGGTTTATAGAAATAATAACTGGAAATCGATTTGTATGCACTTGTTTCATGTGTGGAGAACAATCCTCTAACTAGCCTTTCACCTATTTACTTTATTTTTGTTAAAATTCGTCCAAAAATCCCCCTCAGTTCTTATTTTGTGCTAGTCTAGCTTAGTTTTCAGTTTTTAAGTTTAATTTT